CACTCCCAACTGATAATTATACTTGGACACCACTCCCAACTATTAATAATTATACTGGGACCCCACTCCTAACTATTGATAATTATACTTGGACACCACTCCCAACTATTGATAATAATATAGGGACCCCACTCCCAACTATTAATAATTATACTGGGACACCACTCCCAACTATTGATAATTATATAGGGACCCCACTCCCAACTATTGATAATTATACTGGGACACCACTCCCAACTATTGATAATTATACTGGGACCCCACTCCCAACTTTTGATAATTATACTGGGCCACCACTCCCAACTATTGATAATTATACTGGGCCACCACTCCCAAGTATTGATAATTATACTTGGACACCACTCCTAACTATTGATAATTATATTGGGACCCCACTCCCAACTACTGATAATTATACTTGGACACCACTCCCAACTATTGATAAATTATATTGGGACCCCACTCCCAACTATTGATAATTATATTGGGACACCACTTTCAACTATTGATAAATTATACTGGGACACCGCTCCCAACTACAGTCTGCGACGTTAGGCACTAGCCTAAGGCAATTGCCCACCTAAAGTGGCACTGGGCTAGTAAAAAAGTTGAAATTTTATAAAGCACTAGCCCGAACGGGCTAGTTGAAATTTTGAGCCTTTTGTAACACTCAGTAAGATTTCAAAAATATAAGTCGCCAGTCTTCTTTGCCCCTGCCTTTGACGTTTCTAGATAGTATGATATGCCTCTCAGTTGAAAAAACTCACACCTTGCTCAAACTACTGAATATTGATTAGTTGCTATAAATAACTTCACTGTAGTTATTTATAGCAGCAGTCTGCCTGATCAGCGTGTCGGCATCTTTTTATTTGACCAGTTTGTTGTTAGGACTACAAATTGCTGTCAATCAAGTTACTGGATCAGACCGGAATTCCTTGGTACTAGCAACAGGTTTTGTCAAAACAACACTGTCTCCGAAGCAAGTGTAATGTATGCATTATCTCACAGAACATTTGGGTTAAGACCACTTAGCAGACTGAGGGGTGTAGTATTCTATTTCCTTTTTTGTTTAATTTTTTTTATTTATAATTTTAATATCCACGAGTTAATACATTTTCCTTTGCTTATTGCCTTTTAAAAACAATAAGACCCTGGCAGTTACATGTGACATAAATACCCTATGAACTATTCTTGACAATGTGGGATAGTTGGGTTTATGCCATGGCTACCCCTCCACACTTTGTCCTGGTAAAGTCCTTGAAAAGTTGTTTTTACAAATATATAACCAAAAGAATTGTAACCAAAAAAATTGCCAAACGTTTGTTTAATTACCCTTACAGCACCTATGTATTTTAAATTAGAAGTGGCATTATATACCGATGTAATTAGAAATAAATTGTTAGAAAAGAGCTATTGTCAATAAAAAGAAAAGGAATTAAAAAAAAAAAGATTTTGATTGTATATAAAATGGAAAGAAAGGTATTATAAAAATATGAAAAGTAAGGGTAACTATATTCAGTATTACATATTAAAAAAGGGAATTTTTTCAATATTAAATAATTAAATATATTTTAAATCGATTTTACCACCCCATCAACTGAAAATTAACCTGATTGACTTTGTTATTCACTTGCTCTACTTCTATAATAAGGTTTACAAGAAAGTACAGTATGGTACCACAACTCTTTACAACATCTGCTTAAACTTTTTAAATGAATTATTTAAATTGGGCTAGTGTTTTTTGGTTCAGGCTAGTAAAGTTTGAGAGTCTGCTAGCCCGAAGGGCTAGTAGTCTAAAAAGTTTTTGGCACAGACTGCAACTATTGATAATTATATTGGGACCCCACTCCCAACTATTGATAATTATACTTGGACACCACTCCCAACTATTGATAATTATATTGGGACCCCACTCCCAACTATTGATAATTATATTGGGACACCACTCTCAACTATTGATAATTATACTGGGAAACCGCTCCCAACTATTGATAATTATACTGGGACACCACTCTCAACTATTGATAATTATACTGGGACACCACTGCCAACTATTGATAATTATACTGGGACACCACTCCCAACTATTGATAATTNTGCTTAGACAAGCAGTGGATTATGAGAATTTTCAGGATTTAAATTTCTCATTTCTTATGAGTTGAAAGTGTTATTTTGTTGGTATGCATACAAACTGTTAGAAGCAACTTATTTCTTAGAGGAAAAAGCTATGGGGTATATTTTTCCTGCTTGTAAATGGATTCATTTTTATTGTCAGTAAGAATAAAAAAACTTGCCATGAAAGAGGCTTCTATACATTTTGACAAAAAGCAATTAAAAAAAATGCACTTTTGTTTCATTCATTTTGAACAATGCTCTTGTTAATTAGTTATATGCTATTATAACCTGCTTCTACCACAGTATTTACAATCTTATGGATGGTTGCCATGTAATTACACTTTAATCTTTCTCATCTCACAATATAATCATGCAGAACAAATAACAGTTATGTGAAATGATATTGAAAAGCCCCAGTAATAGATCTGTAATCAGTCATTACAACTGGGGACACAGTCATGGATTGACTGCATATTACAGTTGACAAGGATAATTGCTGGGATATCGATCTTAACACTAAAAATGGAGGAACCCTTCACCTTGGTTGACAGCACACCATTCATCACGGATCAATTTGCAACATTAGGTTAACACTTTTTTCATTTTTTTCTTCATACATATTTGGCATTTGGTTCCCTAATAAATAAATGTCTGCAAGACATGAAGAATTGATTTGTGTGTCTATTTTCAGACAGAAAGCCAGCAGGGAATCCAAGGATGAGACACAAGGGAATGGAAATGACTTATCTACACAGTGTAGCCTTGTTTGTGGTTGACCTGGAACATTGTTGTCTGTGTAGGCTTGGCATACAATGCCTGTTGTAGAAAGCTCAGCCAATCATCCGCCAGACCCAGGGGGTCACACACCAACCCCCAGGGGTCAGTCCTCAGACCCAGGGACACAACTGACCAACTGTGGTTGTCTACAGAGGCGGCATCATCGCATAGTTCCAGAACCTTTCCATGGTGAAAGATTTAACCGTATCGAAATCCGTCCAAATAGGTGGCTTCGTATCCGCCATATTAATCCCAGATCCAGGGATAAAGACTTTGAGAAAGAATATGAGACATTTCTTGAGTGTCAGAGATTGGGGCGACAATACATTCCTAAAGGATCTCCAGCATATAGCATGAAAAATGGCAGTGAACCGCAATACCTAGCCAATGGCAAGTGGAAAAAAACTAGTCATACAGTTGAAGAACACCCTTTTTCTCCATACGCTGGGAATCAGCAGGCAATTAGTATTGATGATGGAGCAGAAAATCAAAATAATTCTTTTCAGCATCCAATGGTTGTGACTTCAGAGGAGCAACAAGATGGCAACCCTGAGAGTAGAGTTGCTACTGCTTCTAGTGTTAAAATCACTGAAAACAATGTCCCCGGTTCTGTCAGTGATGACTCAGCAATTCAGAGTATTATAGAATATAACACCGCCTTATCCTCTCATACAAGTGTCACAAAGATGAAAATGAATGAGGATGGAATAGTTGGCAAAGCACGACATCCAAAACTAGAATCTCAAGATAAAACATATTTTGTCAGTTCACCAGGAGACCCTGTCCTCAGCACTCAGAGCTCCACCAGTCACGAAACCACTCCACCTGTGATGCGAGTTGACACCAAAGGAGAAGTGACCAGTCATGGCGCTGTGTTGTTTTTCATTCATGGGGTGGGAGGCTCCTCAGATATCTGGCAGGCACAGCTAGACTTCTTTGGAGATGAGGACTATGAAATCATTGCTCCAGATATGTTGGGGCACGGGTTTAGTGGAGCACCAAACAATGCCAAGGACTACAGCTTTCAGGCACTACTACAAGACATGTTGGCTGTGTTTGATAAGTTTTGCAAGAAACACAATGTTCTCATAGGACATTCATATGGGTATGTGTCAAGTAATGAAATGATCCTTGATGTATCTTTTTAACGGGTTGTAAAGTACAATACAGATACTGATTTTTATTTATGTAATTGGTTGTTTACATGCAACCTTTATATGGAAGGCTGTTGATGTTTTTAGTCAACACATTGCATATTGATTAAAACAAAAAAGAAAAATTACTCTGCATTATTTTTTGTAACGGTTGGTGTAAAAGGCTAAATTATTAATTCAAACTTTGACGTAATTAATTGTTCTCCGTTGCACTTAGAAGTAAATCAATACATGAATGGGAAAAAAAAGATATTGATGAAGTACACTGGATTGCGGAGAAAAAGACTGGCATAATGATTAATCAAATTTATCTAGATAAACTTTGCAAAAAAGTTTTTTTAATCTGTTGAAGGCAAAGTTTTGGTGATTGCCTTCACTTTTTTCTTTCTTTTTTTTCTTTTTGTTTTTTGCCATTCCAAAACATCAATGGGGCCTTAAATGGGAGAAAGTCAAGCTGAATTGATCTCACTTGTTGTGACATCTGATAATGTATTGATTAGATAAAGCTGATTGTCCTGCATATAACTAATATGTCTATATTGTTACAGTACTTCCTTTGCCACAGCCTTAGCCAAGAAGCGTTCTAGGTGGACGTCAAAATTGATATTGATAAACGGTGGAGGGCCCACACCCCTGGCCCCGCAGCCAGGAGTTTTCCAGTGGCCAACGTGGATGTTAGCATGTATCAAACCTATCCTTGTCTGTGGATTTCAGAAGTGAGTTATTCTTACTGTTGTCTGTATTTTTTTGGTTTTTGTGCAGTAAAATTTAACAATGTTATGCAGTTCTATATTTTTGAATATTGAAAAAATTTGTTTTTCACAAAATATAAATCAAGTTATGCATTCCATATATAAAAAGAACAACTAAAAATTGTCTCCATGTGTTGTTGAATACAGACAAATTTAAATCACAGAGCAACGTTTTTATTTTTTTACAGAAGTGCATTTCATAAAGAAAGCAAGAAAACCTATGTCCCTAAAGAGAAGGCATTAGACGTCCCCACTTACATCTTGAAGCACATGATGAATGGTCAGGTTTGGCCAGAGGGCAACGCAGAGTTCCACCAGTGGCTGAATGTACCAACACTGCTCATATTTGGACAGGATGACCAACTGGTCAGTCTGGAGGAGGAGATTGAAATGAATATGGTAAGATGCCCTAAATAGCAAGCTGTCACACCTGATGCATTTCTGTGGCACAGCTAACACATTTCTGTGGTACACCTGACACATTTTGTTTATTTTAATACAATTTTGCCAGGCAACATTTGACATTCAATTGTCTCATTTCATGACAGTCTGTTGTGTTCAGTTTATGTGTGGGTAGACTTAAGGTAATATGCATTTTTCCAATGTTTTAAACATAATATCACAGCATTATCCTAATTTCCATCAGGAAACATCAAACTCATTTCATGGTAGTTACTTTTTATTAATATTTTGTTGTTTAAAAATATGATTCATTTGTTTTGACAAAATAGGGTTCATATAAAATATGAATTTTTTTTTAGGTTATCTATGGATCAAAACTAGAGGTGATAGAGAATGCCAGTCACATGGTGATGATGGAAAAACCTGATGAGGTCAGTCAGTTGATTTATGACTTTCTGCTCCAAGGCCGGGCAGTCGTCAGGTCAGCAATTGGGCCAGAGGTCAGATCTGAATCCAGAAGCAAGAGAACATTGTCTGCCAGTTCTGTTAGGAGCTTTCCTGGACATTTACTGAATGCAAAGATTGTATAACAGAAGTTTGCTTCACATTTCAGACATGAGCTTTTTCCACAGAAAAGCGGAATTCCATGTTTTTTAATTCAATTCTGATGGTTCCTCAGATTTGTCATGGTTAGTTGTTGGGTCCCATTATAAATGTTCAGCGTTTTTTGAAACCTAGGCTCATGTCTGATATTTGTCATGCTAGATGTGATGCTCAAACATTGTGGAATAAATCATATTTTATATTTGATAATTTAGAAATATTTTCCTTGATGGGGACAGCAGGACTGTGCTCCAATAAGAATATTTTACAAACAACCAGAGGACCAAGATTTAAGTGTGGTTAAAGTACAGAATTATCTCTAGTTGTTTCAAACAAGAGCATGTTTTTCTTTGAAGAGAATGAAGAATATTTCTGACTTATTTTAATCAAGTGTTATGTGAAACAGAATCTCATCATTTACATTTTCTGAAATAATAACCATGTGTAAAGATGTCAAAAACCTTTTTATCTATATTCTTGAGTAAAAAAAGTTTTTGGACCTATTAAATTTGTTTTTACAGTTGAATTGCACATACTCAAATATTTCTATTTTAAAATCCAATGCTTCATTCACCATTTTATGAGAGTAAGTGTTTGCAGGAAGTGTAGTGGAAAACCCTTGTCTACTTAAATTGATTACATATTGAAAGTATGTTTGTGTTATTGTAAAACTGTTTACTTAAAGCATCAAGCTTTACAAACAATGATTATTTTAAGATCTTTCATATTTATATTGTTAAACAGACAATCAAATTCAATACTTGCAGTCAGAATATTATGCAGAAATTTTAGACATTTATTTTTTGTAGTTCATTGTTGAATGATGTTCAGTTATAAGAAGGAATTTGTTGAATAATTAGTATTTATATTAGTATTTAATCAGAGTAAAAAGATATCAGTTAGTAGACTTATCTTGTTATATACACAGTAACAGCTGGTAACTAAGTTATAGCATGTACTTTCAATTTACATATATGGTGAAAAAGGGACCACGGTTGTTCCAATTTTTTTTTTCAAATAAAATATATAATTTTATACCTCCAGATTCTAGTCGCATTGCTTTGATACCCGTGCATACATTAGCTGGCAGCATTCACTTTTAGGTCAAAGGAATATACATTTTTAAGGGAAGGATAATAAGTGCTTAAACTACAAATAATAAAATTGTTAGACCACTGTTTTATTCATAATTATTCATATTTATTATATTGCAAAATTGGAATTCTCAGAATTCAGAAACTTTCAGTTGGCTAATTTGCTAGACCAAAAGGTGTTAAAATATACCATGTAATAGTTTCACTTGCTACATATATCTAATTAGATCACAAGTACTGCTACTGATACAATGAATTTACATATCTATCCTTTTAAAAATTCCTTTAAGGTTGGACTTGTCTTAATTCTTCACAATATCTACTTTAATAGATCAATATGTACTATGCTAAATCAAACGAGGAAATGCTTTCTTCTACACACTCTAACAATTTAAATATTTATTATGCAAATTAACAATTAAAAAATTTAAACAATATGAAATTGTCTTACAATTATGGATTATGCCCATAACAATTGCCAAATTTTTATAATACCCTTGTCAGGGGTAACTTTACAGGGACCTCGTCTGCAACGTCATACATAAAGATGAATAACAATGAAGAGTACAAAGCTCATTACATACAGGTGGATTTCATTATTGCTGATGGTTTAAAATCACTTGTATATCATTTAGGCAGAATATTTCATCAAATTGACTGAAAATTCAAAGAATGCTATAGAGAGCAGAGTCAGTGGTCTTATGTTTGACTACATTTAAATATATGAGGATCAGCTACCTTTCAGGAACACAACGGATTTAATAAATCAAGGTCATCACCCCTAAAGTTGAAGACTTGTGACCGAGTTAAAATCTACATGCCATACCTCAGGACTTCAAATATACAACAACCGTTTTGTATAATCATAAAAAGTCCTGAGCTTTATTTTCTACTTTGAATGAGTTTTGAAAAAAAAACTACACACAGAATTCCAAAAATATATCAGTTTATTTATTTTTCAAATCTCCTGGCCTGATCTGTCTCTCTCCTTCTATCAGAAATATTTGCAGAGCTTTCTTTAGCAGGTATGTCCCTAGAAGTCTCTTCTGTTTCAATGTCCATGTGCTAGCCTTGCCATAGTAGTCTCCTTTCTTGATATTAGTCAACCTGTCTAGTCCTGAAATAACAATTTGAACATGTATTAAAGGTTAATTTATTTGTAGCAGTCTATCTTAAGAAGTTTTAGACATGTCAGGCCAGTAGACAGCAATTTCAGAGAGAATAAAGTTTTTTTCTGAAAAAGTTGACCTTTATAATCATCCCCTCTTGGTTGACCCAACTCGGCAAATTGCACAGAACCTATTTCAAGTTGATTCAGAGTAGACAACCTTTTCCAGACAAAAGGGTGCTTCTCTTGAACCTACTAAGAACACCCATCCCCCTCCCCCCTCTGGCTATGGGCCTGCACGTACTACAAAGGTGATTTATTTGTAGTAGCCAGTTTTAAGTTTGAAAATATACATACATTTACATTTATTATACTACCACATAGCAACATTCTGATGTAAGCCTTAGATTGGGTGTATGCATATCTAACAAATTGAAGACCGTGAAATGCAAGTCTGTATGATACATTTCATCTGTTTCCTTAAAGTACTACCTGAAATTATACATTCAGGTATACAGGAATGTATCTCTGTACTTGTATCAATGTCAGAGACAATAGCTTTACCTATAGCATCTATCATGGCAGCCTCCCTGGTGTAGGCTTCTACTGGAATGATACTGTTGAAGACATGTAGAGATACCACACCCAGACCTTCCTCCCAGATCTCCAATATGTGCTTCACCTTTTGGTTTTCCTGAAAGGCAAATATTTTGCAAATTTCATTTAAGCATAGACTAATTTTTCACTGCATTGTGCATCAGTGAGATGGATCTAAAAAAAATTGCTTCAAGACCTGTAGTACAAAAAAAAATTGCAACCTTATTTCATACCCTACCTTTTTATTTTGCTTATTCTTGATCTCTAGCGCTTCAAAGAAATGGCTGTATCCTCTACTCTTCTTGCCTTTGCCAATGTAAAAAATGGCAGCAATGAAGGTCTGGAAAACATCTGCTTCATCTATTAAGGAAAAAGAAAATCAAAGTGGTTTTGGCATGATTCTTGCAGGAATTTATCCACAACCTTCTTTTTCAAAGGCTGCACTAGAGTGATATAGTCAAAAGAAAAGTTGTTGAACCTGTAACTTCTTATAAAAGAAGAATGACTCATCAAAAACTGAAATATGAACAATCAATGGCGACAGACGAACTAGTATTTGAATGGCTGACTTACTCATGTTCCTAGCTCTACAAGGCAGGTTCTTGGTCACCCTGGGGTCCAGTAACATGTAGTTAAAGGAAGACTTCTGTATCCCCTCCCTCCAGAACATGGCAGGGTCAGGACTGGCAAACTGACCACACAGCTGTTGTTCCAAGCCCTCACACACACTCATGTCCAAGTTACCTTTCAAGCCTAAGGCCAACTCTTGCTTGAACACTGAAGAAATGAAAAAAATATATTACAGTCAGAAGAAACAACATTCTTCAGAAGACTTAAATGTTCAAAGTAGAACTTATCAATTAGTATAGCAATTGACAAATAACTTTTTCCGACATTTGAAATATATCTTATTGTGTCTTATCAAATGTCAGCAACATTACAACATCAAGGATAACTGCCAGACATAAGTGTAACTTTGGTAATTATTTAAACGTTGTGTTAATAGTTCATACTTATGCATGTTGATTCAAAAGTACTGAAGAAGCTCATAGCAACTAAAACTAACAAATGTTGAAAAGGAAAAGTACTAGAATGAAAGGGGCATTAAAAATCCTTTGCCAACATACCTGGCTTATCCACAGGTACATGTTTTTGAGCCAAGTCAGGATTATGTAGGAGTCTGGCCAGCCTTCTGAGGTACAGCATCCTGGTGGAGTCCATCACAGGGCCAGGGAAGTCCCCCATGTGAAACAGCCGTCTCCTGACCTCCTCATTACTCAGTGCAGCCAGCTCTGCGGGGATCTGTACCTGGTTACTGTCTCCTGGTAGGAAGCTGTTCCAGTCCTTGTAGTCCTCTGGCTCTGGAGGAACCTCGCTGAGAACACTGGAGTCAATGGCAGTTGGTTCTGGCAGGATGTGCATCTCGATGATGCTAGCACCAACCTTGTCTTCAGTGTGGACCCATTCTTCTATCTCTGACACCAGACTGGACACGCTGCTGACCAAACTGCTGCACTGGCTGCCAGCACGGGGACTGACCACTGAGTGGTCAGGGGTCAGTAAGCTGTGGTCCCCAAACTCCAGGCCGTCTGCCAGAGACCCCACAGTGGAGCCACTGGTGTTCATGCCACCAGGTTTGTTATCAGTGAAGTAAAAATTTGATGCTGGAGATGTTTCGTTGCCATTTTCTTTCATCACAAGTATTCGCCCCACATCTTTGTGACCTTCTTCCTCAGACTTGGTCACTAAGGAGAGAGCACCTGCAAGCTGGGCAGCAAGTCCGTCGCAGTCATCCTGGGCCACTGTCACTGGACCTTCATGATCGGATTCACAGGTGTGAAATGATTCACTGCTCTCATCTCGACTCAACTCTGGGTCGTTTTGCTCACACTTTTGGTGTCTTGAGTCAAGGCCTCTGTTGCTCAGGGAATCAAAGAACGCTGCATCACCTGCTGCTGTTGGTTTATGCTGGGATGCAAGTTCACTAAACGACTTCATTGTTGTAAGATTTTGTAATGTTGGAAAGGTACTGGAATGTATATTTGGCATCAAAGGAGACTGAGAAGTGGAGTCATTGAATGATTTCATTGAAACTGTTTGTCTTTGAGCAGGGTATGTATCCAGGCATGTGTCTCCTGCAGTCTGGTACAGTGAACTAGGTTCCACAAATGATGCAACTGTTGGCAGGTTTTCATCAACGTCATTTCTAGTGTCACAAATGCTCTCTGTGGTGTCTGTGTTACATGGAAGAGTGTCATCCAAATCCACATTATCCACTTTTGGTGCTATCTGCAAGTTGTTTAAATAATCTTTTTTACAATATATGTATTAGGGCACATATAACACATTAAAATGGTGAGCACTATTATATAAAAATTAGTCTTAGAAAAAGAATCAAATGAAAAACAGTGTTTTCCTTGTCACTAAATTCTTTTTCATACATATTTGCAGATTTCAAAATAAAAAATACTGATAATTTTCTGTCCACTCTAAAGACATGATTCACTTACAAAAGGATGGTCTGGAGATGAAACATCAAAAATGTCTTCGTCAGCAGAAAATTTCTCCAGCAGTCGGTTCACACTCTCTGTGTAGAAACTCTGACGAGCTTTAGTGTTTATAACTGGGCGAAGGGAGCGCCTGTGCTTCTGTTTTCTTGGTTCATTAACTACCTGGGGAATGATAAGAATAGATGTCATATCATGTCATGTTACGTCACATTATGTCACATGTTACATTTGTGTTGAGTACATTACTCTCATTTCTTAGCAATTTGAAAAATGACCTTGATTAAACAAGAAACTGAATTATAAGAATGTGTTTAGCAATCACTTTATACATCCTCCTTTTACCTGGAGCTTGGAAACATTGAGTAAAGAACTTGAACTGTGGCCGTCAGAAAGCCTGGACTCTGAGCCAACAGATGACAGAGCGGAGCTTGGACGAGATGGCAGGGACAGACATGACAGCTCCCAGGCAGAAATACGCTGATCTACAGAGAGTAAAATTCAGTAAAATAGATCTTTAAATTAAGAATAACATTTCAAAGCAGTGAAAAAAAATCAATAAGTATCCTAGATTAATAACTCTACCAGAGTGCCACAGCTTGTCATCTCATTTGACCAACACATTATCAGAAGCCATGACAAAACTATATCCACAATATAAATTATAAAAAAAACTTATGAAAATGGTCTGCTTTAGGTAAAAAATATTAAAATAGATCAATATTAACACAAAAGATTGTCCACACACTGAGAAAATACATGTACTTATGAAAATGGTCTGCTTTAGGTAAAAAAATATTAAAATAGATATAAATACAAAAGATTATCCACATACTGAGAATAGATCTAACAGTAGTCTGTAATTCTTCTCTGCTATCCTCCTGAAGACTGTGGATGTACTCTGCCACATCAGAGTGGTTATTTAACAGAGCTAGGTCAAGTGCAGACTGGCACTCCTGAACAGATAGGATACACTGTGTATCAAAAGTTTATTACTCTGTTGTTTAAATAAAAATACTTAAGACAAAAGAACTAGTGGATGGAATACACCACTGCTTTTTTATAGCAAAAGGGAATAGATTATTATACACAATACAATATAAGTAACCAAACAAACAATCCACGATCAATTTACTTTTAAAAAACATCTTATAATTCACAAAACTTTTTGACTGACTTGCAATAAATGACACACTTTGAAATGGTACTTAATCTATTCAATAACTTTACTTGGTGTTCAACAATTTATGATGTACACAAGTACTGTGCCTATCTGACAAATCTCTTTCCTTCTGTAAACATACATTAATAATGATACACTTAAGTTGTAAGAAAAAAGTAGGAACAAATGGCTCATTGGGCTTATGACCAGCAGCATGGGGCCACTTATGGTGTAAAACTGCTAAGAAAGATCCTGTCTATATCAAATATTATTCAGTTGTTTATGTTTTGTCCAAAGAGGCATCTATAATGTAGTGCAGAATCAGTAACAAGGTTGAATGAAGGTTATGTATTGAGACAGCATGTTTGTTCAATTTAAGTCATTCTAAGACAGTCTGCTTACCATATCTTCCATAAATGGGTCCCCTCCATTGCTGACTAGTAGTTTGAGCACCTGTAATTTGCCATAAGCTGCAGCCACATGACATGGGGTAGTGCTTTCTGTGTCTCTGAAAGATTGAAACATCACATGGCAACACTATTTGAAGATGGTCTGCAATTTCATAAGTTTTTTAATGATTACTTCTGCCAATAAACTATATGACAATCTACTCAGTACAAGGAAGATTATTCATCACCTTTGGCCTGTAAAGTACCAGTAGATTGTAGACAAGATCTCCAAAACTTCTTCACAAGTTTTGATTAAACTTTCAGCAAAAGACAGTGGGAAGCAGTCACTGCGATTTCAATTTCTAGTTCTCTATTGGTATATGTTCTACAGTACCTGACATTAGGGTTTGCTCCATACTGAAGAAGTAGGCGGGTAAACTCCACAGCGCTGGTTTCTGAGCCCACAGCCAGGTGGAAGGGGGTGACAGCTTCTATTAAGATTCTATTTGGATCAGCACCATCCTTCAGCAATGTTCCTGCCTCTCTGCAAGAATTATTACAGGTTTTTATTTCCTTCAGCCAAAACAAAACCTTGACAAACGAAAATAAGTGGTTAACTTAAATGAAAGCAGAAGGAAGGATAATAATAATATTTAAGTCCTATCCCTTTTTAATCTATAAAGGGCAAATTAATTCATTAATCACCTTCACATTTACAACAGCACCAAGTCCAGAGCTTGACTCAGTTCTCAACCTTACATGCTATAGCTGCGTTAAGGGTTCCTGGCTAGCATGTAAGGCCGAAAAATGGGGCAATTCCAGAACCCGTTTCAAGATTTTATATGTAGCTACCGATTCTCGGCGTTCTACACCGATTCCAGTGCATATTTGGCCAATAACCTGTACCAAGAGTGCAAAGGAAATATATGACTTGTCAACTGATCGCATTACCTGAGGCGATTTCCTTGAATAGCATGCAGAAGAAGTTCACTCAGCTGGTGCACTGACATTTCGCATGTTTTGCTTTTCCCGGCCAATTTGTCAACAGCAGTAAATATTTTACGGAATTTGATTGGCCACACTAAAACTGGAGAAGCATTTTTTATGTGATGTTATATCTGATCAATTAAAACGTAGGATGTTTACCTGCTTCACATTTATCAAGAACAATATTCCAAACCTGAAAATGCAGAATGAGTGCACTGTTGTACTGTAGTTGATTGTTATACAAATGTATGCATCACTTGATTAGTCACATGCTTGACCTACTTAATCATAACATCAGGCCACCTAGCATCACTTCCACAATGTGAGTCCCTTTCAGTGAGATTGTTGGACACTGTATTGAACGAAAATGACGCCCAGGAGGAATAATTGCTGTGTAGTGCATTTTTCCACTGTGATAAATTGGTCTGTGATTGTGTTAACAGGGATTATATCTTTGTTTTGCTGGGGCACGTTAGGTAAGTACATCTTATTTTATTTTGTTAGTACATGTACAGTACATGTAGTGTATGTGTAGTTCAAATCTAAGCCGGGTACTAACCTTACGTAAGTTATTAGTACAGATCATAGGACATAAATTTTGGTTTATTGGCGATATTTCAAGAGGTTATTAAAATATTCACATTTTAAATTCTGCTTCTAGTAGTAGTACAGGCCACTAGTGGAGGTGGGAGGGGTCCATGCAGTAAAGTACTTTTTACTCTTTGATCAAAATGTAGCAATTTTGCCAATAATTGTCCTATGTCACCTTTTTTGTCAAATTTTTATGTGACAGTAAATTAACAATGGTATATCTACTGGTATTACTGAGTACTGTAATTCATTGCTTTAAAGCAAGTAACTTCCTCCTCTTCTCCAGGTGCTATTCCCTGTGCCAGGCGTGACTTCAGCCATGGCTCCGTAGTGTGTGTGTGCAATGCCTCTTACTGTGACACAGTAGACCCCCTGACCTCACTGACCGCTGGCCACTATGTGGTCTACCAGTCCAGTAAGGCCGGGGCAAGGTTTGCCAAAACAACTGGACAGTTTACAAAGGGAAAGCTTGAGGTCAATAGTGGTAGGTTTTATTTTTGTATTGGCATTGATAAGGAAATTGAAAAGCAAAAATTAAATATTTACATGAGCTTATGTGACTGATATGCCAAATAAGCTTAGCTCTGGTAGTTGGATTATAATTAAAGGGAAAAAAAGGTGGATGCAATGAAATGTACTTTTAATTCTGATGTGTGTGTGTGTGTGCGTGCGTGTGTGCATGCATGTGTGCGTGTGCGTGTTTTTTAAGCAAAGTATGTATAATGAAATAATATTGGCTATCACAATTTAGATTTTTTTCATTACAGAATAAGACAAATTGTGTGAAATTAATTTAATTATTTTAATGATTGATATATATTGGTGAATACATTTGATTTTTCCAGCAAGCTCTGTGGTTTTGACAATCAACAGAAGCAAGACATACCAGACAATGAATGGGTTTGGAGGGGCGTTCACTGATGCTGCAGGCATAAATATTCTCAATGTCTCTGTCAAAACAAGGACGAATCTAATGAACTCATACTTTTCACCTGAGGGTAATATTTGTTTCCAGTTATGATTTTATTATAATGCAGATTTGAATTGGGTTTCCTTTACCCTTTGATTGTCAATGACCATTTTACATATTTTAAAAGTTGAGTAACATATCATTGTCATATTGTATAACATCATATTGTATAAGGTATCACTGAGTAACACATCATTATCAAATATAAACATTGTCATGATTGTATGAAGCCCAACATGTGCTTACTTGCACATTTTTTATCTGTGTACAGATATATGACTTTGTAATGTGAATAAGTTTATCATAGTTATCAATTTGAAAGATTTATATCAGTTGTCATAGATAATTCAGTACCTTTATCTGAATTGATTGCTGAAAAAATGATGTCGGTTTTATTTTTATTTTGTTTTCAGTAAAACTGTATTCTGTGTGTTTTGTATTGTTTACAGGACTTGAGTACAGTATTGGTAGGATTCCAATGGCAAGCTGTGATTTCTCTACACATCCATACTCTTATGATGACACTCCCATGGATTTCAGTCTCAGCAACTTCAGCTTGACCAAAGAGGACACAAAGTTCAAGGTCAGTTGAAGTTGAGGTGTGAACATTTAGGGCACATTCCCAATGAAACTTTTGTTTTACATGGATCGATCCAACTCTGTAGAGACTCTGATTTTTTGTGTCTGCAGCACTTCTGGAAGCTTTTTCACTTCATTTTGAGTGCCACTAAACACACATAAAAGTAAATCACTCCCCACAGTAGCTGCTCAAGGAGGCATGTCATCCAGATTATTTGATTGCAAGAGTTCCCCTCAGATTTGCAATGATCCTGAAGTTAAAAGGTCATGTCATCTTTTACCTCCAAGGTCATTTTATTTGGTTTAAAGTTGATATGAATTATAAAGTTAATATGATTTATGTGCATTTTAAAATATTCAGATACCACTGATACAACAAGCTCAAGCCATGAACCACCGCAAGATGAAGTTTTTTGGGAGTCCTTGGAGTGCGCCATCTTGGATGAAAACCAACAAGAACATGAAAGGACGGGGCAGCTTGATGGGGCAGCCAGGGGGGAAATACTTCAAAACTTGGGCCCAGTATTTTGTCAGGTTATTACATTTGTCTGAGCCTACTTAGATCCTGATATAATTTTTAGCACTGACAGGAAGATGAATGAAAATTTAATGATTTATTTCAGCTGTTAATGTCTGCATATTATGTTATTAGTTTTATTATTGTATTAAATAGCTTATTTATTTGTGCTGGTGTGAAAAAAAACTAGAGAATCAATAGAAAACCATTTCCTTTTTCTGATCAACAGGTTCATTCAAGAATACCAAAAGCAGAACATTACTATGTGGGGTATTACTGCTCAAAACGAGCCATCTGATGGTGAAATCATCGACTTCCCTTTCCAAGCCATGGGTTGGACTGCAGACCTCCAGAGGGACTTCATCAAGACAGACCTGGGCCCAGCCTTGCAGGCAGCAGGCTTTGGCAGCGTGAAACTGATGATTCTGGATGATAACAGGATCTGGCTCCCACTCTGGGCAAAGACGGTATGATGATGATGATTTAATTCATATTTTGATGGGAAAAGATAAATGTCAGTTCCATTTTCATGTGAATAAAAGAAAATAGAGAGCCCTGTGTCTTTAATGTGAATTTCAAAACGGTTCATGAAAATATTCATGCAAGCAGATAAATTTCATGTTTAAGCCATTCCATATATTACATCCTGAAGGTTATTGTCATCTCTTCATATCTAAAGAAATATATTTAAAAAAACAATTTTTTGTACATCTTTTAACTTCATTGACTAAAAAAAGGGACTTAAAGTTTCATGTAGTGAAAAGGATATTAAGTAGGGAGACAAGTGATTTGTGGAATGGTACACTGGCACTTATGAAAATATTTGAAATGATTTTATGCTTTGTTTCTCTTGAAACCTGGCTATCATGCAGGACACTCACTATTTCCATCTTTCCAGGTCCTGTCTGACCAGGTGGCAGCCAAGTATGTGTCAGGTATAGGTGTTCATTGGTACCTGGACACAGAATGGTTGGTGCCTGCATCACTGCTCACAGACACCCATAACCTGTTTCCAGACAAGTTTATCCTGGCCACAGAAGCCTGTGCTGGCTCCATGCCCTGGCAGACCAAGGTGATACTGGGGAGCTGGGATAGGGCAGAGAGTTACAGTAGGGATATCATAGAGGTAGGCACAGTGCACTCACCAAATACCTCACACTCTAGCTCCCTCCTTCTCTCTCTCTCTCTCTCTCTCTCTCTCCCTCCCTCCCTCTCTCTCTATCTCTCTCTCTCTCTCTCTCTCTCTGACTGGTCCTTATATCATTACTGTACAAATCGCTCCCACTCTGCCCCTCCCAACACACCCTCTCACTCTGTATATTATCTCTGCCTGATGCTTTTCACATCCTACAGTTCTTTTAGCTGGACAGGCTCACTGCGACAGGACCTAACATGTAAATACATTCACAAGTTATCCAAATTTCGCTTTCAGCTCTTTATTCAAATTAATTAATTGACAATGTTGAATGTGGGGATTCCGTTTAGATATCTCTCTTACATTATAGCCATATTTCAAAGTTGTCATGTTATCTGAGTGATATTCTGTCTATTTGTACTCATAAAATGGTGAACCTCCATGTCTCCAGGATATCTCTAACTGGGCCAGTGGCTGGACAGACTGGAACCTAGCTCTGAACATGCAGGGAGGACCTAACTGGGTGAAGAACTTTGTGGACAGTCCAATTATAGTCAATGCTGAACGTGATGAGTTCTATAAGCAACCCATGTTTTATGTAATGGGACATTTTAGGTAAGATGGTGAAGTTTTTATTTAAAAATGTAGAAGAACAAAGATAACTGTTACAGTAGTGGTGGAAGTAAAATTTTGGGCACAGTTGTGGCAGTATCTGCTGCTCTTTATAGCGTTAAAACAAACACTAAATGACGTTTTAGATTTGCATACAAACAATAATATTTCATTTAGGGAAGGCAACAAAATATAGTTGATGTGTTTCTGTTTGCAGCAAGTTTGTTCCACCAGATTCTGTGCGAATAGACCTGACATCATCTGACAGTAAGTCTTTACTGGCAGTGGCTTTCACAGCTCCTGACAAATCAACTGTACTGGTCACTAACAACAGGTAAGACAGGCCCATAGCCAAGGGCAGAGGGAGGGGGGGTTGAAGGAACCACCTTTTTGGTCAGCAAAGATCTTGACTAAAGCAAAATTTTATCTAGGTTCTATGCCGTATCTCAAATTGGGGATGAGGAGAAAAATTTACTTTTTTAGATGAATAACCCTCCATTTGAATGATCTGGATGCTACATCAGGAAAAAAAACATATATCAGTTTTCCTCTTAATTCAAATATTTCAAATTTATAATCTTTAAGATATGGCTGATATAAATATAATCTTATTGCAGACAAAACCAGAATGTGGCAGTAGTAGTAAAGGACAGCGCAGTGGGGACCCTGACTGTCACTTTGCCACCCCACAGTATACAGACCTTTGTATGGCGGACCTAGGATGGAGAATATTATGATATTTATAACAGCTCTTTGACACATTTATCTTATTTATTGGGTTTGTAACACTTAACAGTGTCCCCATCGATTTAATCTTTAGAAATAGTCTTTCAGTACTCTTGTGAAGAGATCGAGTTACATGACATAATTTTCTTGGGAAATTGTGGCGCAGCTCTTCCATTGTTGTGGAAAGAGAATATTAGAAAATGTGCTCAACTGAGATCTCTTAGGAAATTTGTTTTTCCTTGTACACTTTGGTCATATTTGTTCCAGAAAACTCAGTGTCAAAAAGGTTCATCTGCTGGTCTCAGAGGTTCCAGGTGTTGTGTTTTTGTCTTTCATGCCATTTCATAGCGTAATTTGTTTCATACTGAGAATTAAGAACATAGGTATTAAGTGCATGTCATGTACAATCTACATCTTCTCATTCCACTGGTCTCTTCAACTAGCATACCTCAAAAAAAAATTCATGTCCATTTCAAAATGTGGCAGTCCAAAGATGAAATCTATATAGGCAGTTGATCCGATTTAAAACTGAATTTTTTACTTGTCCAAAGTTGAATTCACTAGTCATTAGACTTAGACCCCATTTCCAGAGATTAGATTGATCTACTTTAGATCGACCTAACTCCCTGGGGGTTCACGCTTAATAGCTGTCAGCCGAGCGGACACGATAGTTAATTACCCCCTTACAGCTTGTAGTAGGGGGGACGGACATTTAAGCCGGATTATCTGACAGTAATCTAGTGAGACTCCCCGCATGGATAGATCAATCTAAAAGCTCTGGGAATACAGCCTTGGACTGCAAGCCTGCAGTCTGACTGCAAAAACAGTAATGTCAGTGGTGTTAATTTAAAATGTGGCCAATTTACAATATTGTTATAAGGGTAACAGTTTGCTTGTTAGAAATAGGCTTTTTTCATCGATGATAAACACGTTTGCTTTACCTGCTGTGATACTCGGTATTTTTCAAAACTGTATTATTACTGTGCTTCAGGACCATAGTATTAATGTGATATTTTCATGCCAGTTCCACGGCATGGATTTCACTTGTTTTGTATTCAGCCCTAGTCCTGAAACCTCTTCTGCAAATAGTTTGTGTTGAGCTCATCGCAGAGGTTGTGTAAAAGATTTGTGAGATATTGGAATTTCAGTGATATTGATTTTGAAATATCAAATTGTCATTGAAAGGCATTAATAAATCAGTTTTGTTGACTTTGTTTATTATGACTTGATAAGTACGTTTTTTAAGGCACTGTTTTAGACCTTTTTAATGCTGAATTTGTCATGCTTATAAAGTGAGCTTTCATTTTCCATTGATAGGTAAAAGTGCAAATGTGCCTATAGTACAACCTGTATGATAAATACATAGGGTCACAGTCTTCCTAACATCGTTTGGTCTAAGAAGTTGAATAATTTTTTAAGAAAATAAGAGAAAGTGAATAAAGAAAACAAAAAACTGCATAACAGAGATTCATGTTTTGTTTTAAAAGATCTTACGACCAGGATATTGGAAAAAAAAGTAACGAAAATTTTAAACTTCGCAGCAGGTATTCTGAAGTACAGCTAGACTTTAAGAACCTCCTATGGGTTCATCTCTGTTTATTAGGAGAGGCTGGAACCGTGGTGATTCAGAACTTAAAATTTACTTAATTTTTAAGGACGGGCAAATTTTTCAAACGTGCTAGAGAACTTGAACAAAAGTAACGTCTTAGTTTTATTTGTCTAAAAAGGAACTAACATATTCACAATAATAGTCCAATTTGTCAAACGATTTCTTTTGATGTCGCTCTTAGATCACTTAATTAAATGCGAGATTATTACTTGCCCAAATGTAAAGAGCGAAGTTTCCTGGTTTCCTCTAAATAAATATGTTGCTGGCTTTTCATTTTCTAATTTTATTTATTTATTTATGTATTTATTTATTATTTGGCAGAGGCCAGTAATGCATTTAAGTGCATTTGGGAGAAACGCACAAGTATCTACAACGACTCCCTGTACAGTCAGTTTACAAATATTTCTGCAATATAAGAAAGTTACCATAATAGACGCTGCTGAATAAAATGAAACTTCGTTCATATTTATTTTCAAAGAGGACCTCATGTTAATCCTTTAAAGTTTAAAACACAAATTTGAGAGATTATGACTAATGCCCAATAAATGACAATTTATTTTTACTGTGGAAACGGTTATTTGCACTGCCGTGTATCGGCGAACGTAACATCCTTCTCATGCTATCTTCTCGTTTTTACTACCATATTACGGTTATTTCTAATGTCACTTACATTATATACATATGTTTTGGAATGAAACTGCTTAACAAACTATTCATTCATTCATTCTTGTTAATTACCAGGCGTACTTATTTAGGCAGAGGTACCTTTATTTTGGCATGACTTTCTTTCAATCAGTGGTCATAACAATCTTTTTTTTTTTTAACGTTATGATTACCTACTGACTACTTAAATCACATCAAAAGGCAAAAGAAAGCGGTCATCTTCCGCGCGGTGTGCGTGCGCTCAGCCGTCATAAAAGAAGAACAAACCCATTAAGAACATTTAGAGTACATTTCAAAGCATTGAAAATTACCCTAACAAAAGTTGTGAAGTTCATCAAACAGATTTGTGCACGGAATTCAAGTAAGACGAATGAAAGAAATCGTGAGTTAATCACTCTGACTCCGTGAGACTGCGGTTGTTGCTTTTGAAAGAAACGTGTTTTTAAGGGAAATACTTTACAAAGAGGAATATTGATTGAGTTTTTGATTGTTTCATCGGCAAGAACAATCGATTTTCACATTTTCACACATTCAGAACTCTTTTTTCCATAAACGTCAGTGATTCAAGTGAAAAAAAAAACTTATTGTTCACCTGCGTTGACTTTGTCTGTACTTGAATTAATCAATTGTGTTGATCAATACGGCTGACACAACTCTACACAGATCAATACGTCCAATCTTGCCTTGTAATAAAAGTAAAACAGGATGGTGTACATCAATCATGAAAGACACGTTCACATGACAGAATAGTACGAGATCGAATTCGTTTTATATTAATATGGAAACAACACTTGTTAGTAATCTGAGTATGCTGCGACGCAGAGCCGAGTCTTACCAGAAGGGTACGCGCGTGGTGTAGCCTAGCAGAAGTGGGCTTTGGGTGGAGACCGCCAAATAAATAGGAACAATTTACGTCAAATGAATAGCTCCATAACCAATCTCATGAAGGAATCATGTCTTGTAAATGGCAATGTAGAGAGTGCAGTAAGGACATGCTGCAGGCTGATCGATAAACAGAATAGACGGTCCATTGGGATTTCGAAGAGCTGGCGGGGAAATAATATTTATAATGAACGCTGGAGTACATGTAATAGTGAACATGGAAAATGGATGTATTTTTCACATATCCGTAAACGATTTGAACATGGCAGAATTTAGTTGATTATAACAACCAAATAGATAGAGAAATAAATTGATAATGAATACGCTAACAGCTTCGCTGTTTATCTGTAAGAGAATGCCTGTCGGTTATTATAATTAAATAAGCAAGGCTGTGAGATTATTCAAGCACGTTATATGATAACAGCATTTAATAAACTAAATGGGGAATTTTTATGTGCACCTTAGAACCTATATATCGTTCAACATTTTGTGTAAAACAAGTCTTTATAATGAATCATCACCTTTAAACAACGCTCCTTAAAATGCTAATAATATCTATAGCAATAATATGTTTTCCGTTTCAAAATCTATTTTATGATCCCTGTCAATAAAAAGATATAGAAATGATACCGCTCTTGTTGGTCTTGTTAACTATCACATGCTGTGTATAATCTATTAATTATAGTTAAGAGTGATGAGGGTCACGTGTACACGTCTACCGAAAACGACGCAAAACATCAGCGAAGCCACTTCATTAACATCATAATCACTCCAATTTCCTCCTCGAAATAGACGGCAGGCATCATAAGGAAAAACAACGCGATTTTATTTGACTTTGAAACGGCGAAGGTGATATTTATTAAGGCAGTCAATTCTGCCATTCATTTATTGCGAATAATCCAGCAGTGAAATATTGATAAAGCTGAGAGAGCAGGCGCAAAGATCAGCAAGGGGATAAGTTGCAGTTGGACCATTTTTCATTATTTTCCCGGTGTTTTACCATGACCAGTGGCATGATGGCCCCTCTGGACAGATTCAGGTCCTGGGTGAAGAGGAGAGTGAAGCAATGGAAGGTAGGGATTGGTTGTGGGTGAGACACAGTGGAAGGTAGGGATTGGTTGTGGGTGAGACAGAGTGGAAGGTAGGGATTGGTTGTGGGTGAGACTTAAGTGGAAGGTAGGGATTGGTTGTGGGTGAGACTTAAGTGGAAGGTAGGGATTGGTTGTGGGTGAGAC